CCCTGTGCTTTCCACACCCAGCTCAGGATTTCTCTCTCAGGCAGCCCTATCCATAGGTTTCCTCAACACTGACGTGCTTGAAAATTTATAACAATTGCCTTATATGTTGTATCCATATGAGAACAAACATTTAAAAGACCAGGCCCTTGTGAGACCCAGAAACTTTAGACTAAAGGTGGAAACAATGAGATCAACTTAGTTACTTAAACACTCAAGTTACCTCCTGATAAGTCACCCCTGTCTCTGGAAAGAATTTTCCATGCTGCCAGGATTTTATTTTTCTCCCCTGTTTGATTCTCTCCAATGCTTTTATTTATCCTTTTCTCCAGCCTTCTGAACCAGCCTGACATTATCAAGTGGAGACTGCTAGGCTTTCTGTGATATTCCCCATCTGTAAACCCCAAAGTTTCCACCGTCTTCAGGGTATTGCATTCCCTATCACCCAAAAGACACAATGCTGTTTATGTCACAAACCAGAAGTACTGAATATATTGAAATATATGTATTTCTAGATGCAGCCATGTGCTTTTTCATTCCCGTGAGAAGCCCCAGGATTTCAAATTCTCAGAAGCTGTATTTCACCCGTGTGAATTCCAGTATGGGCCAGCTGCACTCTAACTTCGCAATGTCTCCACTGTGATGAATTTCAGCATTTGTGTTATTTCTTCATTTTATTTCTGGATCATTCTGAATCTTAGAATATTTCATTCACTTATGCAAGTACTGTAAGAGCTGTCAACTGGTGTGTACTCTCATGACCCACTGAACTCATTCATTTTATTCTTTTTCAAGTTGTCAATATCCTAGTTCAGAATGGCCACCAGAGTATCATTTGTCATTTCATAATAAACAGAACTTATCTATGAAAATTTTTTACTGGGCAAATGATGTCTTTGTCTGCAGTGCTACCAGTAGGGAGGCTGAGGCAGGAAGATAGCAGCAAGTTTAATCGCAACTGGGCTACATAGTGAGACCCTGTCTCAAAAGAAATATATAAAAACAATTAAAAGTAATCTAAAGGATTTGTGAGCTGAAGAAGAGAAAGAAGCTTTCATCTGTTTTGACTCTGAGCCTCGCAGATACACTTGGTGCTGCAGATTTTGCTTTTCTAATACTCAATTCACAGCCTTGGGTACAGCTTGAAGAGTAGACATTTGTGCTCCTTTCACCAAAGCATTTAATTGGCCTACTGCAGCTCTCACTCCAAACATTTGTCTCCAAACATCCTTTGAGTGTGTTGATCCTAATCCAAGCCCATGTATGATGTACACATTAACCAGTGCTCTTTTCAGAAAAGCCACCCCTTTGGCTGCTGTGATCAGCTGTCATCTATCAAAGAGGGAGTTACTAATATTGGCCACATGGGAACAACCTCACATTTCTGCTGGAAAGTAAGCAATGAACAGGAGGTATGACAAGGAGCTCATGTTCCAGGGTAAAGGATTTCTTAATATGGAATTACACATAACAGGACAGAGTACAGAGGGAGAAGGAGGTGGATCTTAGTTACACAAACACCTCACAGAATAAATATTTTTTCATGTCTTCCAGTCTAGTATTATTTCATTATTGCAACTTTTAAAAGAAAATATAAATTTAGTTTTCTGCACACTGAAAATGAGTATTTGTGAGATGAGCATTCAGTTTTAAGCATACATTTTATTAGTGAGATTAGGAATATCCCCATTTTACTTTTCAACTACCACAGCAAGCCCTGAGAAACATGAAAGAAATGAGTTTGGAAACCAATGTCCCATTATGGTTGAGTGGCAGTGCATTTGGGACACACTTAAATTGCACGTGAATCAGCCACCCTGAGCCAGAAGACCTTGCAGCTTAGCACTGTCAACAGAGTAGCAGTTTGCCTCCTGCAGTGAAGCAAGAGATGAGGAAAGCCACGCAACCTACAGCAGACAGATACTAATAGCAAAGAACAGGAAAGACATTCAGGGAGGAGCAAAGATTAGAAAAACTCTCATGGTTTATTAAAAACAATATTGTTCTGCTGTGTTAGCAATGCAAGACCGATCTTATAACAATCTGTGATGTTACACTTGTAGATAAAACTTTATTGTCTTTTTCAACACACACATGTTCCTGTGCTACAAACATTGCACACATTGTGCCTCTGTATCGAACCTGAGAGACCATCTGTGCCCCTTGATTTAGATGTTCATGAGCCTCAAAGCCTCTATCAATGTGAAGATGCACTGATTATCTTTCTTTTTTTTTTAGTATTCTTTGCTAACTAATGCTCAGCACGTAAATTTACCAGGGCGTTTTTGATGTAACTCAGAAGGGTTTTTATACTGCAAATAGTAGTATTCCTAAATGTTCTTCTGAATGGTCACAGCAATCTTTAACTAACTAGTAGTGTTTAAAAGCGTGCTCTCCTTGCATAATTATTTGCTGAGATTTCCAAGTTGCATACATTTCCTTGATGATAACACTCTAAATAGATTCAATTATATGAGGGGTGAGCACAAAATATGGTACATGATTCAATTAAAATCATCCATGGTAGCAAAAGACATATTGTCATTTATACCTCTCAGAATATTCCCAATTGCTTCGAACGTATCTGTACAATCATTCTTGCTACATTCTCAAGTATTTTTAGAAGTCTTTCATCATTTTCTTTAAAAGTATTGTCATGGCCGCCTCAGTGTTCTGAATTAGTTGAAAACATTTATCGTTCATGTTAATTTTGACCTTGGGGAAGAGTCACAGGTTGCATTCCTCCAGATCCACTGCAAAGGGAGATGAGGACACACTGCAATGGTATTACAGCCTGCTCATAAGCTGGCGGGCACTGACAACAGCTGTCTCTGCATTTGCTACCAGGCTCTGTCAGACAGTCATGACGAAGACTTTCACAACTGCTTCCAAGTGTGGCAAGAACAATGGAACAGAATCATGTGGGTTGAAAACAAAAGTACTTTGAGTTTTGTGGGGGATTTATGGGAATGTGGCTTTTACTCTAACAAATGTCTAAATTTATATATTCACTGTGTATTTGATCATATTTTATGCCTAGGGTTGAAAGTCTAAAAAATTCAAGAAATTAAAAAATGTCACCACAAAGGATAAAGTTCTTGTAGCTTATATGTGAAATTAAATCCCCCATTCCCCAAGTGTGACAGGGCTGAGTCACATTTACATTAGCACACTACACTCCCTTCAAGACCCAAGTTTTAAAATACCCCCCAAAATGAGGGATAATTGTAATATTGAGTTTCACTTTAGATTTCTCCCTTTTCCCTCTATTATGTTGACATAATACACATACAAAGTGTGTGTGTGTGTGTGTGTCCTTTTCACACAGCTCCTTATCTTTCTAAGCAGAGCAGCACCTGGCTGAAACAAGACTCAGGGACAGAACTTTTGCTGACCCCCCTCTCGTCCTAGATGTCGGGACAGGGAGAACAGCTCTGAGTAGATCTGCACTGGACCCTACAGTCCTGGGTTCTCAGAAACTTTTCCTGGTCTCATATTCTTGGCCCAGTTCAGGACCTGTAGATTTTGAGCACTTTCCTCTCTGATCCTCACCACTGTGGGCCAGGATAACATGTGCTTCCTCCCCACTCCAGGGCTGCAGCCCTGCAGGTTCCTGCAGTACAAACCTGACTTCAGCTGGGCTTGAGGCCTCTGTTCCAAATCTCTGCTTCACTTCAGGGCCAGAAAGTCTATTTCCATATTTCTGAAGCCAGAACTTCCACCTGGATAATTAGAAACCTGACTTCATCTCATTTTCAGGTCAAGGCTTGTTTCAACCTGAGAAGATAAAGTTTCCTACAGAGCTCTCTATCTGTTTGATCAAAATATAAGCAAAGCAATGTTAAAATAAGGCAATATTGTTAAAGGCTCATCTAAGAAGAATCCCAGTTTTGTTCGGTTTATTAATTACCATCTCTTTCTTGCTGTGCATCATCAGACCCTCAGGCCTCCTTTGGAAGAAGTCAGGTGCATGACTATGAGACAGGGAATCAGCTGAAAAATGAGATTAAAGGGCAATGAGAAGGGTGACCAGATGCCAGGAAATATTTAGGTTCTGCTAAGAAGAAGATGGTGAACAGCTTTGCTCTGTTTTTCCCCTCATGTAGTTGTTAGAATGGTTGATCCTTAGAGACACTGTAACCATCTAGAATGAGGAAGCCATTAAGCCCAAGACTGAAAATCTATGTAGTGATAGAGGCAGAATGGAAAAATAGCAAAAGCATTTTCTGTTGTCACCAAACAGCTAGACCAACTCTAAATTCTTCAGCATTCGCATTTCCCTTTATGGCTTAGAGCCGTGCTACAGTTTCTTGCTCTGGCTTCCAAATTACTGCAAATTATCCAGGTAAGATGTTTAAGAGGAGGTTAATTGGGACAGCCTTTGACCTCATTAAGAGCCCAGGCACTGCCATATGTCTTTTTCTGGGTTCATGTTTGTCAGTGTGTGTTTTTTTCTTGTGTGTGTGAGTGTGTGCTTGTGTATATTTGGGGATGCTGTAGCATGGAGAGTTAGAAAATATAATTGATTATTTCCTACCTGGGCATTTTAGCCATGTTGTGTCAGTGTCTAGAGAAAACCAAACCACTTCACAGAGTTGAGAGATTTTATTGCCTTCATTTTTCTTTTTATAATGTGGCCATCACAAACCTCCAAGTATTCCTTAGTTACTCCCATGTCCAAAGGTCATTCCCCTAGAACAGTGTAACAGAGACAATAAAACAATGTGCAGAAGTATGCAGAGAACAGGACATAGCCAATTACACTACTGGAGCAGAATGACTTTGTCCTGTGGGTCATTGGGAGAAACACTGGAAGTCTGTGCAGCACATCTGATCCAGCCCAGCCTTTCCTGAGACCCAGGTCAGTTATCCTTTCCTGCGTGACAGAAATGAGCCTCCCTGCAGCTGTGCCTAACACAGCTCGACACCTGCTGATTTGCATGTCCCAGAGCGCAGCAGCAGGGACTTTTTCATAGGCTGTCACACCTTGTGCAGGAGTCAGACCCAGTCAGGACACAGCATGGACATGCGGGTCCCCGCTCAGCTCCTGGGGCTCCTGCTGCTCTGCCTCCCAGGTAAGGAAGGGCAGCCCTGGGAGTTTACTCAGCACAGTGTGTTCATTATTTCCTGCCTCTTCAGAGACATTTTCTTAAACCCTGATTGATCATGTTTGTGTTTCCCGTGTCAGGTGTGCGATGTGACATCCAGGTGACCCAGCCTCCACCCTCCCTGGCTGCCTCTGTAGGAGACACAGTCACCATCACTTGCCGGGCCAGTCAGGGTGTTAGCAGTTACGTAAACTGGTACCAGCAGAAACCAGGGAAAGCTCCTACTCTCCTGATCTATAATGCTAATAATTTGCACTCCGGAGTCCTGTCGAGGTTCAGCGGCAGTGGGTCTGGGACAGATTTCACTCTCACCATCAGGAACCTGCAGCCTGAAGACATTGCAACTTATTACTGTATGCAGCATAATAGTTCCCCTCCCACAGTGATTCAAGCCATAACAAAAACCTCCCGAAGAAGCAGAAGTGTGAGGCTGGGCTGCCCAGCTGCTCCTCCTGGTGCCCCTACCTTTGAAAACCTTTCCTAGATGCAGCCAGGCCTTGAATGTCACTGGAGGATTTGGAATAAGATACCAGACATTTTCCTCTGAAACCTTATGGTCTTTCTCCTTTACACTTCTATCAAACTATGTATTAATGTCAGTTCTATCAGACCAGGTCTTTCTCAATACAAAGGAAAGATGATTGTATCAGGACTTTGTGTTGTGGCATCATTTGGAACTCATTGAATGAAGAAGACTTTCAACTTAGTCCAAGCAGGAACTGTTTTAATGTGGAGAAATATAACCTGCTCAGCACTTCTCACTCTCCTGAGGTAAGGAAAGAGGTGAGTACTGTAGATAGGGTCTTCTCTGGTGCTTCCTGGAGTGCATAGCACCAGCTAATGGGCCCTGGAGCCAAAGAATTCTCTGTCCTGCCTGCAGAGAGAGCCAGGGGTGGAATTCTGATTATATCCCTTGCAAAATCACCTCTCTGTAAGGTTACATCTGCCTGCTAATTTTCATAAGGCCTAAGTTCTCTTTTTTGTTTTAAATCTCAGAGGATTATTGTTACCTAGTCACCTGTACAGCAAAGAATAGATGGACATCTGTCTGAGAAATTTATTTTCTGAAGTGATAGTGAAAATGTTGGTAGGGGACAGTCCCGGATGTCAGGATGGCCCCGTGTCTCAGATATTTTCTAGTTATGTAGAGGGCCTCCAAATATCCTGAAATTTATTTCTACTTATTAGCTGTGAATATGGAGTCATAGCACACAATTTTATCACTTCATAGACTAAACTGTAAGTCAGAGGGGTGGACTAGAAGTATGTGGGAATTAATACATGAAGTTACAATCTGCATACACTTGAGAAACCTTCCTTGACTAAACTAAACAGAAGCAACAAAACAGAATAAAACAATTCTAAAAGAACAAAAAGTACTTAAATGATATAAACATTTTTAAATTTTACTTTCTTAGTTTAAATGATTTTTCCCAAATACACGTGTTTTGCTGCTGAAAAAATACCCACTTCCTGGGAGCATCACAGTGTCGCTCAAAACTCCTTATGAATGAAGAAGCGCGAACCCTCCTCACAGTGCAGAAGGATGTCAGAGACCCAAAGAAGATTCAAGATGCAGTGCTGCAGTGGATATTTAATTTAGTTAAAGAGATTTTTGCCTCAATGGGGACATTTAAGAAAATTTCTTTTTGAAGCTACTTGCTAAAATACACAGAGTTTTCTTTTACTCTCAACGTAAAATTGTATTTGGAAATATATATATATATATATATATATGACAAATGCTGGAAAACCTAATTTTTTCATAGTGTTATCAAATTCCTTTGTAACTAACTGTAATTAAAGTTTTTAGAATCATCAGTAATAATCAAATGGGAACAATGCATCAAAATGTGACAAAGGTATGTTAAAGGACAGTGGAGGTAAACCTAGCAGAGGAGCCTGGTGTGGGGATTTTCCTCACTCCTCAGTTTGTCAGAGATGCTGTGTCCTCGGTGTCTCAGCCTTCTGGCCTTGGGTGTAGCTCAAATTCACTTTATAAGGTGAAAACCACCTCAGTGTCCCAGAAAGATCCAACAAGGTCTACTCTATGTCAATCAACCAGATGATCCTTGATAAGAACATGAAGAACAGGAAAATAAATGCCTAAGTTTTTTGCAGGGCTAGTACAAAGAATTATTGTGACCATGCTGAATAATATAGTATTTACTTATGCCCATATATAAATATATTTATTCAACAAACTAGTGGCCTATGCCTGTATTCTTAAAAATTTATCAGAAAGTGATATATGAAGAGGAAATTTATCTACCTATGAAATAAATACTCCAATAAGAAGAGCAATATTAATTTCACTTGTGGAAAAATTACCATAGTTGGTTCAGACTAACATACTTAGTAGTAATAGAAGATATAATCATAATATACTTTTAATACGTGACATAGCCATCATAAATTGTTAAGTCTACCTCTCATAAATGAAAGATTATGGACTGATAGAGTGCCACACGCCTGTAATCCCACCACCCTGGGAGAATGAAGCAAGATAACAAGTTAAGTCCATTCAGGGCAACCAAGGAAGAGAGAAACTGACTGAAAATAAAAATCAAGTCTAGATATAGTCCAGTAGGAAGGCATTGGGTTCATTACCTAGTATCACAAAAAAAAGAAAAGTGGTTTTTAAATATATATGTACATGTATAATATATATCAATATACAATTCTTAAAGAATGTATATAATTTTGATTAATTAACATGTATACTTACATAATCAAAGTTTATGATACAAGTACTACGAGTAAACATATGTATGCACATTTATGAAATTTTCTTTGCCTACATATATAATATCTGTTTATTGAGGCTCAGGATTAATGTCCATTGATTTCCAGTTACATTATTTATGTCCATACATGACTAATATCCATTAATGTTTATTAATGTCCAGATAGTATTTGCTATCTAATATTTTTCTTTGTAATCCTTGTTTGTAAATCCCTTATGAAATGCTGCACTCACTTGAAAACATTGTAATACATCTGTAGAAGCCCCTAGAGTCAAGATGGAGATAATTAGCTTCACATAAAAGTTAAGACATTTCAGTTTGTGAAAATTCCTATGAAGTAAGTCTTTGATTCACTTTCATCTAAAACAAAGCCTTCTTATTTTTCTTTGTGATCAAAGATCTACTCTCTGTTTTTATAGAGAAAGTAAGATGATATAAAGGTATTAATAAAAAGCACCAAAATATCTGAATACCTAGTGAATTAAATAACAGATGAAACCACTTGTCTCCAAGGGGGTGTGGAGGAGCACACTAGTCCTGGTAGGAAACGCACATTAGACTCTTTCAGATAGAAAGATTGAAATTCAATTTTCTCAAAATTCTGCTTTAAAACTGCTTCTTAATTCTACAAACATTGTTCTAGTATCTAATCCCTTGTTTTATCAGCAGATATTTAAGATTTGGATGGAGTGAATTTTCTGGTCTTTTAGCAAATTAGAGGACAGGAATAAAAGGCAAACAGTTGATTTCTAAGTCACTATATTGTATGGGCTGTTTTTTGTATCTGTCATTTCTAAATATAATTACAAAATGGACTTCAATACTTGTAGACATTAACACCAATCAACAGGTTATTCTTTGGGGTCGAGAGGGACCTCAACTAGGTTAAGCTAAGTCCTACATCTACCTGCATCCTAGTGGTTTAAAATGACAGGGAGCTGAAGTGATCATATGTGCTTTGATAATTATCTCAATGTTCTGCTTCTGTAGAGCAAAAAGCAACACAGAGACACAGTTTCTTCCCACTAACTATAAAGAATGAACAAGCCAGATATTTCATATGGAGAGGAAAAAAGATGTTCAGTCCCAATTCCCGGGATTGAAGGATAAAGTTCAATAGAATGATTATTCAGCAAAATGATATTTGTGTTAATGTAAAATAAAAGTTCAGATGAGAAGTGAAGACCATGTTTGCTGCAATGAAGAGTAATAGAGAGCCACATCTCTGATCTGGATTCCATCACAACAGACAGAATAGGGTCCTGCTTACAAGCCTGAACATTGGAAAGTATTAAAATATCCATGGAATCAAATCATGACAGCACAGATAAGCAAAACAGCAGAAAATATAACAATACACCCTGCAAATGAATGAGTCTGGTTGTCGATGAGCAAGGAATGGGGAGATGATAACAGCCCAGGTAGTTGGGATTTATTTTTCACCTCTCTGATGTCAGAAGCTGTGAAGGTGAAATCATGCTTTGGCCCTGTGAGAAACTCTGGTCTCTGCAACTTCAAAACTGCCTCTGTAACTCACTACTGCGCATAATACAATTTGCATATTTCTCCCATAAGTCACCCCCAGCACGTCTGAAGCCATGCAATGCATGGTGATGGACTGATGAGGAGACACACTGTCAGCTGAGGGTCAGAGCAAAGGTGATGGGTTCCAGGCTCGGCTCTTCTGTTTCTTCCTCCAGTGCATTTCTGGTAAGAGAAACATTTCCTTTAATTCAAGGATTTAAATCTTCGGGATTTTTACCAACTATTCCATATTTATAAGAAATGGATACTTTGTTTTCTCTAAATAGGATGCATAGAACTTATTTTGCATATTTTGTCCTATAGCAGACTCCCTGGCAGAAACAGTCTCCAGCACTCCTGTCAGTGGCTGTAGGAGTCAAGGCCACCATCACCTGCAACGCCAGCACAGACACTGATTATGATATGCAGTGGTATCAACAGAAACCAGGAGAAGCTCCTAAGCTCCTTATTAGAGGAGCTACAACTCTCATCTCTGGGATCCCTTCCTGGTTCAGTGGCAGTGACTATGGACCAGATTTTACCCTGGAATGTGAGGATTCTGCACACTACTTGTGTCAGCAGGATGCTAATTGGCCCTCCCCGTGATACGCACAGACACAAAACTCTACACATCTCTCAGGAGGATGCTGCAGCTGCTCGTGAAGAAGTTCAGTTGAGGAACCAGGTCACATTTTTGTGTCCCTGAGTTTTCTTCATGCACGTGCATGGTCACTTTCATTTTCTGTTTCTGTACTTGTCCAGCCCATAATCCCTTGTTATTTTTGTCACCATTGATACTGCAGAGAATACAACAGCCTTCGGCACAGTGTTCTCCTTACCAATGGCCCATCTCCAATTGGAGGGACAATCACAGGGCCTGGTTTTCATCAGTTATCATAGTCATCATGTTCCTCTCAAAGAACAAAATAGCTATCATAGTAGACCTAGGTTAGGATTACAATAATAGAATTAAAAGCAGCCTGCATTCCCTCTAAGCGTGTGCATGTGACAGGGTTCCCGTGCTGCATAGACAGCAGGAGACAGACATGAGAACAGCACATAAACTGGGTGAAAATTCCACAGTGTCCATCTTGTGCTGTGTTTCCAGAATTTGCTTTTTATCTCCTTCTTCTATTTGTTCCATTACAGCTGATGAAATGCTTCTTCTTTCTCTCTGAAGGTTTCTATCTTTTTGTGATACATCTCAATGATATCATCCCCAATTTAAAGACCTTCTTCTTCTAATAGTGATGCATACAGCTATTAAGCCATTCCTTTTAACTCCCTTGCCACACTCCACAAATTTTATTAATTTTTATCTCAAATTTTTTCCAACACATATACCATTATGTCAAATGGAAAGGATTAAGTTTAATTTTGAAAGTCAGAAAAGTATATGTGAAATCAAAGATCTTTGAACCATCCACTCTCACACCCAGATGATGCTATTTAATTAAGAGTTTGGCATTCTCAGGCTCGTCCTTGGTCTTTTGAGGCAGCAGTAACAGAGTAGTGATGTCCCCCTGTAACCTCCCCCTGCCTGAGCTATGCTGCTGACCTGCTGCGCGTCTACTCCAGCTGCTGACTGGAGAAGCATGACTGGCTTTGCAGGACCAGTGGCTACTGAAAAATGAATGCCAGATTCAAATCACACCTGACACTGCAGCTTTGACTGAATAATCAGGTTAATGTGCAATAGCCATAGAACAAGGGAATCCAAGAAATCCTGAGAAAAGTACCAGAAACTCAATTGTTTTAAATTTTTGTTTTTGAAATATGACAGTATATATGCATATATATACCAATTTTCTTCTAATATTGTTTTAACTATCTATCAAAGAACTTAGTAATTTGTAGTTTATTTATCATTCAGTTCAAAATATTTACCAATATTGCCTTTAATTTATTAATTTAACATACTGGTTAAGTGAGTATTTTAAATTTAAGGTGGGTTTCTGTTTGCTTTCTAATTTAATGATTTTCAAGTCAGAGAGCATGCGCTGTGTGATTTCCATCCTGACAGACTCCCTCAGCTCTCCCTGAGCATAAGTTTTATCTTGTGAATAGTGATGGTGCACATTGTGGATTTAATTTGCCTTTTCCTAATGAGCAGTAATGAGGATCACTTTTTCATATTTTTAACAGACATTTATGTCTTTTTTGCAACAAGTTGCTCAGTTATAAAGGATTGTTTTCTTTAATATTATGGGGTCTTGCTCTTATTATGTTAGGTTTCTCCATTTTCAGAAGTTGGGTTTGTACAGGATCACTGATTTATAAATGTCTCTTCCCATTTTAGCATTTGTGTTTTTATTTCCTTCACAGTGTGACTACAAATGTCCAGTTTTCAAAATTTTATTTTCAACTCTCCATAAGGAATGTGATAATTGTCTATGGCAAATACGTAATAATAAAACATAAAAAAGTTAAACTTAAGGAGAGAATGTTTTTGAATTTTGATGATGCCAGTATACCAATAGTTTGCTTTCCATACTGAGTTTTCAATGTAACTGGAAACTTTATTGAACCTAAGAATAATACAGGTCCTATAATTCTTTCTGCTATGCAATTTACAATGCATGTACTCATGGTCCGTTCTGTGATCCATTTTGATTAAATGCTTGTGTTTTCTATGAGGTCAGAATCTAAATCCAACTTTTCTCATGTGAGTGTGAAGGTCAGATGATATTTTCACTGTATTGAGTTGCCTGTATATTGTCAAAATTTCACTCCAATTTCAGTAGTTCATTTGTAGACTCCAATCCATTGATCTGTTTATAGTTATGCAAAGGCCCCATGATCTTGGTAACTATAATTTATACTTGCACTTTACTTTATAATTCATTACAAAACTGAGGGCTGTGAGCCTTTATATATTGATTTCCTTCTGCAGATGCACAGAGATCATTCTAGTGCAGACCCACTGCAGTGATGATATCTGCAGTGACGGTCATGGGCATCAGTGTGACAAAGCAGCAAATAAAAAGTAACCGTGAAACTTGAAACACACCACAAATCACTTAAAATTTGTGTCCAAGAACCCAGGGTCAAAGACTAGAGAGATGCCCACAGAGAGTGTCCCCATCAGTTTTCTGCCCTCTCCACCATTAATCTAAAGCTGCAGCATCCACACCTGGTGGATTCTTTAGGTTTTGTTCATAAAAGCTGCTTCCTTTACAGCCATCTTCTCCAGTGGCTGCTCAGTCCCCCCTACCCACACCTCAGTTAAGTAGTGTGGAAAATGTGTGGCTGTGCAAAGGAATTTGCTGAGATTTCCCTTGTGTCTCATAACTTTTTACCTAACTTAGTTGCACAGGCCAGATCTGGAGTAACATGTTTGCCAGACATTAGATCAGACTCCAACCCATGGAAGCCTTGTAGAGTGTACACTGATGCCTGAAGCTACAAGGTGGATGTAAGAAGAATTAGAAAGGAAGCACAAGCACTGTCATAGTTCACAGATGAAAAGTTTATGTGGAGAGAAACGAAAAAGCAACCTAACGTGAAACTAGGAGCATAGACAATACACACAACCAATCAGCAGATTGACAAAAAACACACAAAAAGGAAATGTATTTCATACACCAAAAACAGAAAAAAAGCTAAAGTTATTTGAAGAAAGCATTTATAATACAGTCACACTTATAAAAATTCGGGACAGAATAAAAATATATATGTAAGCCTCCTATCTTGAAATTTCCCAAATATTATGTAAAACAAAGCAGATTGAAGTCTTATAACGATTTCAATGATAGAAAACCTCAGATTGAGAAATAATGCAATTTACCATAGACTGACATTGACTTAAAATCATTCTTCATCATCACTGGTTTTTTTTTTTTTTTTTCCAGTACTGAGAATCGAACTCATGATGTTGCGCTTGCCAGGCAGGCACTATGCCGCTGAGCTAAACCCCAGCCCATCATCACAGTTTTGAAATGAAAAATTATCAGCTGCTCTTGTGTTTTCCAAATCAAGGCATAGAGCACAACCTCCGTATGAGGCCTGAGTCAGCAACAGCGCTGGGGAGCAGTACCAGGTGCAGGACTACACTGCTGGGGTCAGGGCAACAGAAATATCCAGGGGAACAGAAGTGAGTGTACAGAGAAGTCGACACATTTGACTGGGTGTGACACCACAGTTACAATGACACAGATGACACTACAGGGCCAAGCAGAAAGTAATTGCTTTTCAAATATCATGCTGCATCTATGATGCATATGCATGTCAAGCAATGATTCAAGAAAACATCCACCCTCAATTATTTTCAGAAACCACAAGTGCATGTCACAGTCCATGACCACATAGCATTCAAGAGAATTAATAAAATTGCAGAGTAGTATATAACATTTGTTGATGCTCTTAAATGTAGTAAAATTTGTGCATTGGCACTATACATGACATTTAGGTGTATCATACAATTCATTTATTTATTATATAGTTGATTCACACATAGGCTAATGTAAAAACAACAGAAGTTAAATAATATTACATAAAAGAAAATGATGTTTAGATTCAATATGAGGGGCTGGGGATTTAGCTCAGTGGCACAGTGCCTGCCTGGAAAGCAGGAGGCTATGAGTTCGATTCCCAGTATGGGAAAAAAAATAGATTCAATATGAATCCATGTTCCTAATGAACCCAGTGAAGCAGATCTGAGTCTCTACTTAAGTGCCCATAGTGCACTGCTGAAAGACCAAATTGTAAAACATTCCGTAGAATTGGACTTAACTGTCTCTAACACTGAGTTTTGTTTCTGTTCTGTCCTCTTCCCCTTTAGCATATGCCTTTCATGATCTGTTTGTCCTGGCTCACAAGAGAGCTCATTAGGTCTTCAATTTGAGTTCATCTGTGTGGATCAAAGGACATGCTATGCAGAGAGAGTTCCTCTTGCCACCATTAAAAACCATCTTTCTCGCTTTTGTCTAACATCATCTGTCCATTTAGAAGTTCCTGCCATGAGGTAACATTGTGATGTGTTAGGATTTAGAAACAAAACAACATTGTGGGTCCCTGGTGTTCTAGGGGCTAGCAATAAAACAACACCCATGTGCTGGGTTACTCTCTGGGGGCTGGAGTTCAACTTGCTCACTTCCTTAACACACTATGCAGACTGGGATGAGGTGGGGAGACGGGGGGGACTCATGGAGCACAGTGCCCCAGGGACCTTCTGCTGTCTCAGCTCCCCACCTGCCTCCACATCTACTGAGCATGGAAGGTCTGCAAAGAAGCCTTGCCTAGGTGGTTTTCTCCTAGTCATATTTGAAAAGTGTTTGGGGATGGGAAGAATGAGGCTGTGTTCACAGATCCAGACCTAGAGCCCTGAGTTTCTCTTCACATCCTACAGAGGATGTCCCCTGGATGCTCAGGGCCCAAACACTTTCCCAAACTGCATGTTGAGACTGCCATGTGGATTATACAACCTACAGTTTTAACTGTCTTATGACAACTCGCTTTTCAGAATGTAGAGTAAACTGATCATCTTTTGTCCTAAGAATCAGTTGTTTGGACAACTGATTGTGTCTCTCAAAGAATCTGAACTGGGAATTGTTGAAGTGTTATGGGAGTCATGAGAGTATATTTACAGATCATACTGGTAACAGGGC